TTTATCACTCCCACTGATTTCACCATTCTCAATTAATCTAGCATTTTCGGTTTTAACAATTCTCGTACTATATTTAGAATCGTAAAACTTGGACCCTTTAGATTATGGGTAATAAGAAATTACTTAACATACTCCTAACCATATCCCTAAGAGTACGATTACGCCTTTCAGCTACACGCTTCTGCTGTGGCATGCCTAGCATAGTATTTTGAGCACAAATGCCATACATTTTAAGGAGTTTAGCAAACGGTTAGTGTAACGACCCTAAAATGATACCAATTATAAAAAAAAAAAATTAAAAAAAAAAAAAATTCAACATAACCTCTGCTAAAAAAGATTCTAAGAGTACGATTATGCCTTTCAGCTACACGCTTCTGCTGTGGCATGCCTAGCATAATATTTTGAGCACAAATGCCATACATTTTAAGGAGTTTAGCAAACGGTTAGTGTAATGACCCTAAAATGATAACAATTAAAAAAAAAAAAAATTAAAAAAAAAAAAAATTTCAACATAACCTTGCTAAAAAAGATTCTACAACAACCTGCTTAAATATAAAAAAAAATGCAATGGCCTCTCTTGGACCTTCAAAATTTATCTAACATTTCCCAACATACAATACAAATAATACATTTCAACATCCCTTTCATCCATTTATTATGCCTCAACATAGTTCATCTCATGGTGGAACAACCACATACCATTTAATCCAAATATCATAATTACAGTGCCAAAAAAATATGGTTAAGATCAAAAATCCATGTCTTACAACGTTTAGACAACTTATATTAAAGTTACAGCTCATGAATATAATTACAATAACAAGAGTCCATAAGTCTCCGTACAGAATACAATATGCTAAGTTTTACAAAAATAGTGAGACCTAGATACAAAAACAACAAAATAATCTTCTAATCCATACTAAGCCTGTGGTAGAACGTCATCCGCCACTTCTTTTCTATGTCCTAAAAAATGTTAAATAATAAGGTGATCATAAAGCTAAGTAGGTGGTGCCTAAGACACACCTCTTGTAATCCCGTAAATCCAAATAATGAGTAGAAATATAAAAAACGGGATCATGCTATGTCGGGAGAAAATACAACAAATTACAAGGCCAAAATGGACAATTTGATGCTATGGAATGCTATGCCCAACTAGCTCAACCACGCTAGGATGATTTTTCTAGTTCCCTCTAGGTTATATTAATGCCACGGCCCTTCGGTAATTCCTCGACGACCGGATTTTTCAAAAAAAAAATTCTTTAATCAAAACTTTATCCCAAACCCCCTTTTTCATTCACTTCAAATCATTTTGCCATTTTTCATGCCCAGTGTTATGCATGAATATCACATGCTTTGCCAATACTATGAAGATGAAGAATTTATATCACATAAATTACCGTGCTTTCTTATAGCAATTTCCAACAAGTTAATAAACACCATAGGCATAGAAATTTAACACTTAGACATGCTTTTCATACAAATCAACTAATACACATAATCATAGATTTCACACACAACAATTATATCATTTTAAAAGCAAACAACTCAAATTAAGTATGCTTGACAACAAATATTGAAGAAAAATTCACAAAGGAACAAGAAATTGGGTGGGAATTAGAAACCCCTATCTCTAAAAATGCAAAAACCTCCAATTTGATCTTTTATAAAATCTAACTAAACTAAACTTTTAGACATATAACAGAGAATAGAAAGAAAGTTGTCCAATAGGTTAAAAAGCTGTTAATGAGAGAATGCAACATGAATGAGTCAATTTCAACTCTCATCACATTTTCATGACCGGTGATACGAGACTCTCTACATAGATGGTTGCATGAGAACCTTCGATGTCGTCATCTATGATAAGATCCCTATATGTTTCCTCTTTTGTGTTGTATAAAACTAACTTTTTGTAGTCTATCCACAACAGAGATTCATCATTCCTCAACAATGCCAATGGCTTGAAGGTATCATCAAATGGGACTTTAGTTTCAAGTTTAGTCCAAGACTGGTTCACCCTATATTCCTTCATAGCCCAGTATGTGTATACATCACCAAACCATGGTAGTATACAAAGGCATCCTTCAAACACGCCCAATTCATATGCTTCATCCGCATCGGTGAAGGAAGTAGGCATGGGAATCTTCCACACTTTCTCATCCTCCAAACTAAAAACAGCAATCTCTAATGGATGACCTTTATCGTCCAAACAAAGCCAATGAAGGGCTCCATTCAGCTGTGTCCCACTCTCATAAACATTGATACTGCACTTATAAGTAAAGTCATGAACTTTTCTCCATGAACAAATTCTCAGGGAATACGCATAGACGCTATTGCTGTGTATTTTCACCAGTTTGTAATCATCAGAACAATGGTCATAGCCGAATCCAACTATGTCATCAGCGGGATTGAAATCCGGTATTTGCTTGGACTCTCTCGTTGAAGGATTGAATACATATATGAATCTTTCTAGTACATACATCGAAGGATTGCATACATATTTATGTCCATAATCTGCCACTATGCATATCAACCCATTGCAAGAACCAACAATTTGCCACTTACGAGGAGGATTGTACTGAACTAAAAAATCAATCTTCGATTCTGCAATGTAGTCATTACCAGCTGATCCGGCGTAAAAACGGAGCGGGCGGTTGAGACTGGCTATGAGTATCCGCTGTGTTTGGATGTTGGATTTTGAGAGTGATTGATTGAGGTGAGTTCTAATGAAGTGGGGATTGGAGATCAAAGAGCGCCATGACTTCGACACACACCTGAATTGCAACAGAGACTTGACGGGCAGTTTTGTGAGTATTTCATCAAGGAGGAGATGCTGGGGAAGGCAAGACAAAGGCATGATGGCTGCTTCTTCGCATGAGTAGTCATGATTTCTTGACCTACTAATAATATCTGTTAACCGACTTCTCTTCATGATGATATGCCAATTATTTGAACCAGTTATGAAAGTTCACAAATATATATATATAAACTACTTGTAAAAATTTACAAAGAAAATCTAATATTGAATGTGTTAATTAATTATGCTATCAACAATGCACATATTTATAAAGCCCATAAGGAACATCTAATAAAATAAGGAATGAAAACTAAAATCATAGCGAAATTACCTAAAATTATACTTTCTAAAAAAATTATAAAATAAAATATAAGCAAACTTAATTAATGAAAATTACTAAATCTGTCTATCCTACATCATGTTTCTTCACGTATAGAGTAATTTTACCAAACTTTGGCTTAGAAAAGATAAAAGATGGGAGGAGGGTCTTGTAGCATTAGAAGTAGTAATTTATTATTATTATTCTTTAAAAAAGTTAGACCAAATCTCTCAACTTCTGATTTATATATTCAAACAAAAAGTGTCAAAGTTGGTTACGACTTGAGTCTAGGCAATTTTGTTGGGAGAGATAACAATAAACAAATATAGCAGAATAACTCTTCTCCCTATATGCAAGCAAATATAGTGTATCTGCACTTTTATATGTGTTAAAAAATAATAGAGAAATAATCAATCACACCAAGCCACAAGAACACAAACAATTTTTTACGTGAAAAATTTCCCCAATGTGAGGAAGAAAAACCACAGGACCTAGTCCAATTGAAATCTCCACTATCAACCAAATATTGGGTACACAAAATTTTCTCTAATCGCAATTAGAGACTACAATACATTTCATCAAGATATCACCAATCTTGGCAAAAACAAAGAGAATTGGAGAGAATATACCAAAAACTCGGTTACTGTTCACGGGCACGAACCCCAACTCCCGAGCTCAAAATCTGATCTCCACCGTTCAAATTGTAACTCACTGAGTCGTAAACCTCTCCTCCAAATTTCAGCTTGATCGGAGCACGAACGAAACGGGATCGAAATTTTGATGAAATCTGGGCAGTATGTGAAAAAGCTGCGTTTTTCCTCTCTCTCTTGTGAAAGCTACGGCTGATCTCCCTCTCTTTTTATTCTGCCTTCCTTAGGGTTATTCACCCTAAAGGACTAGCCTTTCGGCTTTAATAAAACCCACTTGGGCTTTCCTCCATATAGAAGGAAATTAATCCAACAAATCTCCTCCTTTCCGACTATGTGGAGGGAATCGCCATCCCGGCGATCGAACAACAAACTTCAAGCTTCTCTCTTGGTAGGGTCTTTGTCAACATATCAGAACCATTATCATCAGTGTGAACCTTCTCAAGTTCAAGTAACTTATTGTTCAACGCATCTCTGATCTAATGGTATCGTACATCAATGTGCTTAGATCTTGCATGGAAACTGGAATTCTTAGCAAGATGAATAGCACTCTGGCTTTCACAAAACAACACATACCTCTGCTGCTTGAAACCAAGTTCTCTCAAGAACTTCTTTGCCCATAGCAACTCTTTAGTCGTTTCCGTTGTTGCAATAAACTCTACCTCTGTCGTAAAAAGAGCAATACACCTTTGAAGTCTCGATTGCCAACCTACAGCCCCACCTACAAAAGTGATCAAATAACCCGAAGTAGACTTACGAGTATCCACATCCCCTACCATATCTGCATCTGTGTAGCCAACTAACAATGGTTGTCCGTTTCACAAACCAAGTCTCAAACAGGAAGTGCCTTGAAAATATCTCATGATCCACTTCACTGCATTCCAATACTCTCTTCCCGGATTTGACAAGAATCGGCTAACTACACCGACTACATGAGCTATATCGGGTCTTATGCAAATCATTGCATACATCAAACTTCCTACTGCTTAAGCGTAAGGATCTCTTTCCATATCTTCCTTTTCCTTATCTGTAGAAGGACATTGCTTTGTACTCAGTCTGAAGTTGGTAGCAAGAGAAGAGCTAACCACTTTAGTGTTGTCCATATTGAACCTCTGAAGCACTTTTTCAATGTACTCCTCCAATGACAAATTACAGAAATCTCCATTCCTTATCCAGTCCAAGCCTTTATTTATTTTTATTTTTTCAGCACATCAATCATCCTAAATTTCATTTGTTTTCTCTACGTTGATACGAGACTATCTACATAGATCTCTACATCAAAACATTCCACACCATCTATGACAAGATCCCTATATGTTCCCTCTCTTGTATTGTATAAAACAAACTTTGTGAAGTCTATCAACAACAGAGCTTCATCATTCCTCAACAAAGCCAATGGCTTGATGGTATGCAGAAATGGGATTCCAAGTTCAAGTTTAGTCCAAGACTGGTTCACTCCATATTCCTTCATAACCCAGAATACATGATCAAGTGTTAGTATACAAAGGCATCCATCAAACACCCCTACTTCGAATGCGTCATCAGCATCAGTGAAGGAAGTAGGCATGGGAATCTTCCACACTTTCTCATCCTCCAAACTAAAAACAACAATCTCTAATGGATTCCCTCTTTCGGCCAAACAAAGCCAATGAAGGGCTCCATTCAGCTGTATCCCATTCGAATAATAAACACCAACACTGGACTTATAAGTAAAGTCTTGAACTTTTCTCCAAGAACAATTTCTCAGGGAATATACATAGATGCTATTGCTGTGTATTTTGAACAGTTTGTAATCAGCGGAACAATGGTTGTAGCCAAATCCAACCACACGAGAGGGATTTGGATCGAAATCCGGGATTTGCATGTACTCCCCCTCGTTGAAGGATTGAATATATATATCAATTCAAAATCTACCGCCATGCATATCAACCCATTGCAAGAACCAACAATTTCCCACGTAGAATGAGGATTGTCCTTAAATAAAATATCAATCTTCGATACTGCATTGACGCCTTTACCCGAGGATCCGAAACTTGCCGTGTAGAAACGGAGTGGAAAGTTGGGCCTACTGGGTATGATCAGTATCCGGATGTTGTTGATCTTTGAGAGTGATTGATTGAGGTGGGTTTTGATGAAGTGAGGATTGGTAATCAAAGAATGCCATAACTTCGAAATGCACCTGAATTTCAACAGAGACTTGACGGGCAGTTTTGAAAGTATTTCATCAATGACGAGATGTTCGGGAAGGTAAGAAAAAGGCAAAGGCATGGCTGTGGCTCGCTTCTTTCTTGATCTATTAATTCTTGGTAACCTAATTCTCTTCCTGATGATAATGTGCCAACTATTTTGACGAAGGTGAAGCTATCTCCATGGAAGATAATAAATAATTCTGAAGAAAATTTAGAAAGAAAATATGATATATTGTATTAATAATTGAGTGTTAATTATTTCTACGTAGTCTCGCTACCATACACAGATTTATAGTGAAAAAAAAAAGAAAAAAGAAAAAACCCTAATTACTAGGAAACCTAACGCTACAAGGAAATTCTAATAAAATAGAGAAAGGCCTAATTAATGAACATTACTAAATCCGTCCAACATCATATTTCTTCACGGTATTGAGTAATTTGACCAAAACTTTGCTTTAGAAAAGATATAAGATAGCTGGCCTTAACATTAGTAGTAAATTAGTAATTATTTCTTATTATAATGATGTGATATCTCTGCTTCACCTATATACTCTGTGAATTTAAGTGTCAAAGTCGGTTACTACTTGAGTCTTTGTATCCTAGAGGGATTCAAAGAAGGCAGAAAGACACACGCAGGTCATCGAAATAGAACTTCTTTGGTAAGAGGCTAAGAAGCGCGGACACTTTTATGAGTGTGGTGTTCATGTCGGAGTAAGAGGCTGAGAAGCGCGGACACTTTTTTGAGTGTTGTGTTCATGTTGTCAGGTCCGACACTGATATTTTATGGATACTATTGCACTCTCAGACAACATGGATACTATTGCACTCTTCGACAGTGTGTCCATAAATTTTAAAATAGATTTTATTATATTAGACACTTGACAGATATATCTCCCACACATTTTGAATACTGGATAACATATCACACACCTCTCATCTTCTATAAAACAAATAATGGTAGTCCTAGAAATAACATTAATTATGTACATATATCAATGCTTAATCTTTTTTTCTCTAAATAAAAATTAATTAAACACAATGACGAAATACAATAGTAATATCATATATAGTACATTTGATATTCAATTTGCTTTAACTTGTGTAACTTTAGTATAAAAATTATAAAGTAATAAAAGTTTTATAATTATCTTATTTAATAGATATATAAATGATAATTTATATTTATAAGCTATTACTTTTTTAGAGCTTGATGTATCCGCCTATCCATGTCGTATAGTTTCCATGCTGGTTAGGTAAGAGGATATCATGAGTTCACCTCGCAAAAGACCTTTTTTTATTTTTTTTATTTATTTTTTTGACAAAGCAGAGGTCTTGATATGAGATAATAAGAAATCCTTCTTTACTTTATATATATAATTTTATTTAGAAAGTATTGTTCTTGTCTTTTTCAAATTTATTTATTTATTTATTTTGTAATTTCTTTTTCAATAGATTATAAGTTAATTTCATTCAGTCATTCTAATGGGGTATTAAGACTTGAGAGTTGAAGTGTGAGATATATTTTTATAATTGGCTAATTTCGTTGTCAAAACAAGTCCGATCGAGTTGTAATTTTTCGGTTCAAAATTTCAAAGATTGAAGATCGGATGCGAATTTGGAGAAGTTCAAGTGTTTATGATATACTACACTCCGAAATGATGAGAGCAATGCTTTAGGAAGATTGAGAGGTAGTGAGAACACTTTGGAAGAGTTTTGAAAGAAGTTTTTATATTCTGTCCATCTTGAACTGGTTCCCAAAATCCTGAACTGGTTCAACATCAGTAGAGTTGGAAAAATTCAAGACTGGCCATCTTGAACCGATTCCCAAATTCCTGAACCTGTTCAAGAATAAAAGAGAACCTTCGAAATTATTTCTGGTGTTCTTGAACCGGTTCCCACTTTCCTGAACCCGTTAAAGGAAACTTACCTTTCTTACTCTGTTTGTTCCTTTTTGGACTAGACTTCTTTCTAAATCCAATGCACGAAATTTTCTATATTTTCAGAGGGATTAGGACTTTCTAAACTCTATATAAACCTTGTTAGTTTTCTAAGTTTATTCACGGCTTTAGGGAAAATCAATTCTATATTTTGAGAAAGCCTTTTAGAGGGAGAAAATTCAGAAAATCAAATCTGATTGTTCTGAATTTATTTATGAGAGTATACACATATATTCATGAGTGATTTAGTAGTGTTGTTCTTTATCTCATCGGAATTGGAGCTATATTGAAGATTCAGAGATTCTGGATAAAAAACAAGATTTAATTCTTCTACATCGAGTTTAGATCTTAAAAAACAAAAGTAAAAGCGATCACACTTTGAAAGAGTTTGAGCATTCGAGGAGTGTTGTATAATCTACCTGCTATTTTTTTACAAATAACAAGCAAAAGCCAGAGGTCAAGTTGCTGTTGAACAAGAAGTCGCAAAGCCAGAGAATTGTCAGCAATTGACGTTTGGTAGAACGATAGAGTGTGAGCCAGAGTCAAAATTCGGTGTACTTTGTTTCAAACACAGTGGATCGATTTACTTTGGACTGAATAGTCCATGAAGTTTTTCCCATGCAAACAGTTGGCGTATTTTATCAACTGGGATTTTCTCACTAAAAATTCTGGTGCAATCTCTCTAAACTTAACTTGCTTTACTTTTCACTAATTAGATTTATGATTGTGGATGTTTAATTAATAATTCAATTTAATCAATCTTAAATTGAGCAAGTTGACCTAATAATCAGATATAGGTCATAAAAGGAGTTAATAACAATTAAAATCAACTAACTGTTTTCGCACCCCGCGTAACTCTATTTTCATAATTTGGTATCAGAGCGGGATACTCGATATACAGAGTAGATCATATTTGTTGATTTATTGTTGATTTTTGCATCATGTTTGAAAATTCAGCTTTTGTTGATGTGTTATCTTTAACTCCTGTTTTTGATTCTGTCACAAGCATGCAAATTAAGTGGTCCAAGTTTAAAAAGGATTTTGAAATTTTGTTAGAGAAATTGAATCTTGTGGAACTTAATTGAGATATTTATAAGTTAGAAGTTTTTGTCTGTAATAAAAATTTGGAAGAAATTGGCCATAAAAATTTGAATTTTCTTCATAAGATTGATTTTCTAGAAAATGAACTTAAGAATGTGAATTTGTTTAATAAATTACTGGAACTTAAAATTGATAATTTGAGTAGTGAATTTGTTAAGTCAAAACAGTCTTTTCAGATAGTTGATATTGACACTTGCAAAATTGATAAGTTGAAAGGAGTAGTTGAGAATAATAGTCATAACAAAGAATTGGCTTGAACTTCAAATGATTTGTATTTTAAAAAATCGAAAGATATTTTTATGGAAGTTGAAACCAAACCTTGTGTTATTTTTAGCTCTACCAAACTTATTTCAACATGTCATTTTTGTGGTGAAAAAGGGCATATCAAGTATAAGTGTCAGAAAAGAAAATTTGAACTAGGAAAAAAATTGAAAAATCTAAAGAGTTCAAAGTTAAGGAAGAAGAGGATTAGGACTATTGAGCCTTGTGACACTTTGCCTAGAAAAATAAGGAAATCATTGCAATATGAATCTAAAATTGTTTAGGTAAAGAAAGAGAATTTTAAATGCATTGCCATGCACACTGCACTTAGAGCACTTGGGCCATGTGGTTGGTACTTTTATAGTGGTTGCTCTAGGCATATGACAGGGGATAGAACATTGTTTACCACTTTTAAGGAATGCTCAGTTGGTACTGTTATTTTTTGTGATGGTAATGCTACTACTGTAAGTGGTAAAGGTAAGATCAAATTTCTAGGAATTGGGGAGTTAAAAAATGTTCTATATGTTAAAGGTTTAGCTGCTAATCTGTTGAGTATTAGTAAAATCTGTGATGAAGAATTTCAAGTTAATTTTAATCAACAAGGGTGTTTTGTAACTAATGAAAAAGGTGAACGTATCTTGAAAGGAACTAGAACTTCTAATAATTGTTATGTTGTATTTTCAGATCCTTTACTAATGTGTTTTTCTTCAGTTATTGATGAGGCAGTTTTATGGCACAAAAGACTTGGACATATGAATTTTAATGATTTAGTGAATTTGTCTAATAATGATCTTGTTCGAGATTTGCCTAAATTGAAGATGCCTAAGAATGAAATATGTGGTCCATGTCAATTGGGAAAACAAACTAGAGTGTCACATAAGAGACTTATTCATAAAATCACTTCTCGACTTTTAGATTTGATTTATATGGATTTGGTGGGTCGCATAGCACCTGATAGCATTAGAGGAAAAAGATATATGCTTGTTATGGTTGATGATTTTTCTAGATTTACTTTTGTTGCATATTTGAAAGAAAAATCTGATACTTCTGTGAATTTTAGATCTATTTACCAACTTATTCAAAATGAGAAGGGATATCGAATTAATCGGATTAGGAGCGACAATGGAAGGCGAATTTGAACCTAAGGAGTTTATTGAATATTGTGATAAGAATGGCATTAAGCATGAATTTTTAGCACCTAAAACACCACAACAGAATGGTGTACTAGAAAGGAAAAATAGAACAATTGCAGGTATGGCACGTACTATGCTTCATGAGAATAAAATTGCAAGTTACTTTTGGGCTGAATTAGTACGTACTACTTGTCATATCCTAAATAGAGTTTATCTTAGGCTTGGAACTAAAAAGACTTCATA